TTCGTATGTGTGTGGCAGTGCAACTGCATGGTTGAACAGTCAATGGCGGTGTGGCCCAAAAGGCCGGAAGTGCAGTCGAGCAGCAAGGACTCGGCATGTATGTATGTATGCGTTTGTTTGCTTGTGTGTATGGGTGCGGGGGTGTATTTTTGAGCCAGGCATAAACAAAAGTGGCACAACGAGTCTGAATTTCGGGTCGAAGGGGCAGGAGGTGTGTGCCAAAAAAAGGAAAAGAAAAGCCAACACGAGTTGACATACAAATTGTACAAACTGAAAATGATTTGTGAGCCTCCTTTCACACACAAGCATAGAAGGATACTCCCACACATACAAACATACATACTACCGTGGTACAGTGGATCAGGGATCTAGTATATTAGATATTGGAAGACAGATACCATTATCAAATTTTTAAGGGTATTTCATCGTCTAAAATGTATCTTGAAATGAAATAAATAAATTTTAGAATTTTATTTCAGTTATATATTTTATATTTCATTTTAATTAATAATAACATAGTTAATCTTATAAATTTAATAAAAAATTAATAATATAGTTTCAAAGACCATCATACCTTTACAAAAAGTGACCCCTGAACTCTAATTTCCAACTAGCCCTCAGCCTTCAGGCTTCCTCGCCCAGTCAGGCAGACAGTTGAAATTGCAAATTATGTTTTGGGGAGAAAGCGGAGAAAGGCAGAGGAGAAAGGCAGAAGAAGGGGCGCTGGAAAGTGCGATGGACCGACAACCGACCAGGAGGCTCCACTGTCTGCGCTCTAATTATGCAAACTACCTGCTGTTACTCAATTAATCTTGATTACGTTTGTGTTATCCAAATACAATTATTTTGGTATTAATTACAGTGGCCATGAGAGTCGGGGGTGTCCTGCCTGGCCTGTCCCGAGTGTCCTGGCGTGAGCCCGACCAGACGGTGGACCACTTTTACGAGCGGAAATTGTCTGGGTCGTCGGATGAAACAATACTGGCGGCCACCAGCCACCAAAAAGGACACCCACCCACAAACACCCACAATTCTTGGACGCCGCATTACAGGCAAGTGTTTTTTTTTTGTGGCTTTGGTTTTCTGGGAAATTTGTATGCCACTCGCATTTGACGCGACTTTTCCGGGACTAACCAGGGGGCTGGAGCAGGGAAATTCCTAATTAGCCTAGAAAACTCTATCGAAATGCGTATTGAGAGTGGCTCACCCCAACCACCAACCCCCAGTGGGGGAGCTTGACCTTAATTAGCCGCCTACGAAAATGAGAGTCAAGTGCCCGGAATTGGCTTTTGGCGACTTAGTCGATGCATAATCTTAATCTCACACTGGCCTCTATTCCCAACAAAAATAAAGCGAGAGTGCTTCTGGTAATTAAACTAAAAATAAACAATCCACAGCCAATTAATTGACTTTTGAGTAATAAATGAACTCGCACTCTCAAAAAACTTATTCATACCATCCGAAAAAAAATACAAAAAGAACTTATTAAAATACAGAATTGTAATAAATATAGAAATCGATTAAGGTTTCGCAAAAAACTGCACAAGGATTGGACAAAAATATTGAAAACTCCAATCCCATACAAAAAATTGATAAAAAAAAATGCTGTTTTCAGATTTTAGTAAAGATTTTTATGAAATCAGATTAGATTTTTTAAGGTACCTCGCAAAAGGTTCGGTTGAGAAGAAAATGTATCTAGAAGAAAATTTATCTAGAAATCGTTCAAAAATCGGACAAAAATTGTCAGAGATATAAACTGAAAAAATCAGATTCCAAAAAAAAATTGAAATTTACATAGATGAAGATTTGAAGAAAATCGATGTATACATATCACCTCCTGAGTTAATATAAGCATATCTGTCCGTCAGTCTGTCTTAATAGAAACCGGTTAAGGTGCTCCGCTTGAGAATCGGATCAGGAGTGGGGAATATAAAGCCATTACTGTGGACCCTTAGAGAAAACCCCAGGAATATATAGCCATCACTGTCGGCCATATAAGGGAAAACACACACGGAAAATGGACAAAAACTCTAATAAATATTTTGTCTCAGGGTTTTGATGCAGAATAGTGGGAAATCGACCAAGAAATCGTTCAAGGTACTCCGCTTGAGAAAAGGATCAGGATATGAGAAGATATAGCCATTACTGTGGACCCTATAGGGAAAAATCCCATTTGATGCAGAATGGTGGGGAATCGATGCATTTTGATGCAGAATGGTGTGTAATCGATCTACAAATCGTTTAAGGTACTCTGCTTGAGAATCGGATCAGGATCGGGGCAGATATAGCCATTACTGTGGACCCGTTAGTGGAAAATCCCATTTTCAAGGGATCCCATCACGAAAAATGGATAAAAAGTCTAACAAATATTTTGTCTCAGGATTATTATGCAGAATAGTGGGCGTTCGATAATAGTGGGGGATTGATCTAGAAATCGTTTAAGGTACTCCGCTTGAGAATCGTATTAGGATTGGGGAAGATATAGCCATGTATTATATATATAATTATTTGGTATTTGTTGTCTTTGTCGTTTCTGTTATACTTATGTTCATCTATGGAGACCACAATTATTTTTTTTTTTTTCAGAAAGTATTTAATATTGTATCGCATTGGAAAAATTTCACGAAAAGGACAAACTCCTTCCTTCCTTGCACATCCAGGTGCAGGAACCCAAACCGTGAAGGATATTCTCAAGTCATGTGCAACAAATGTGGCGTAGATTTATGCTTCAATAGATTTATAGCTTCATAGCAAATATTATTATAAAATTGAAATTATACAAAAGTAAACTGAGTAACGAAACTTTTATATAGATTATGAATTCAAACATTTTTTTAATGCACTTAAAACATTACAATTAAATTTATTTATGTTGCATTAAGTATTATTAACATTTGGTATAGATTAAGATTAAGCAGTACATAGATTACCATAGGCGGTAGTCGTCGGGATTCGAATTATCCAACCTTGAGAGGGTTTTGAGATCAAAGTCACTGGAGCTCTTCTCCGCAGAAGGTTTAACGAGCTTGATCTTTGATTCGTCAATGACAGCGGAATTATCGACAACATTTTTCTTGATCAGAGCTTGTTGCACGGCCAACATTTCCCGTTTACAATGTTGATCAGGGGCATCCGCGTTCAAAGGCAGCCTGCCATCTTGAGAGTACATCTCATCAGTATCGATCCCATAGAATCTTGGGTCAGCGTCACCGTAGGATAAAGTCTTCTTCCTCGAGAAATCCTTGTCAGGAACGTGAATACCACGCTCCTTTTTCAAATTGTTGACGAGCTTGATTTTTTGCATTTTCTTTTCCAACTTTTTTTGCCTCTTTTGCTGCTCCGGCATCAACAACGGAATGCGCAGCGCTATATGGTAGCCGGAACCAGTCTCAAAGATCTCGGAAAGTTCATACATTTCCAACAGGAACACTATCTTCTCATAGTTTTCGAGTGATTCGCCCAGCATGATGGGCCCAATGTCCCCACCGCACACGGCGGAGCAGCAATCGGAATGCTTCGCTGCAACATCAGCGAACCTCATCGTGCCTTTTTTAACTAAATTCCTAATGAAGGTTATCTTTTCCAAAGCTTCTGCCTTGGTGCGACTCACTCTTTTCAGCTTGTAACACCAGGGATACTCAGACTCCTCGTGCTTGATTAGAATGTGCCGAAATCGCATGCGAATAAAAGGACCCCTCTTACGGTCCAAAAGATTGATCCCAGGCAGGGTGTAGTATACCTTCCCTGTCTTCGTGTCGTAGAAGTAAGTCTCCTTGGTGTGGGGCATCACCCGCTCCTCCCAGCCAGTGGGCAGTTGAGGGTCGTTTTTCCAGTCTATAACCCCACTGCTCGGTGTTGCGAAATCTTGATCCAGACCAGGCTGATACTCCGCATCGATCTTGCTATCACTGGAATCTTCGGAGGTATAGCTGTCATAGGAGTCATCCGAAATAAATTTTTCCTGACAAGTGACCGAGCTGCTAAAACGGCTTCCACAGGGGTCTTCCTCTCGCAGCGAAAAAACGGTCGCAATGGGTTTCTCCGACGAGTTTTCCGACAGGGTTTCTTCGCTGATACCCTCTGAGGTGGTAGGCTCAGAATCGTTTCGATTCATGTTGATTATCGGGTTTAAATTTCAACAAAATTTCGAGTTTTTAATATCGAGAAATAATTTAGAAAAAGGAAAATTCTTTTGATGGAATGCAAATTTGATGTTTGTTTGTCGAGACCTGATTCGACACTAGATCTGGATACTACGTTCAGAGTTGAGAGAAAAACGGAAATGACATAAAAGCAAAAGTATACTTTGGTATGGAAATAAAAATTTTCATTTGAAATAAAAGGAAAACGGGTATATCAACTTAAGCTCCGGCCGAAGTTAGCTTTTCTTTTTTTTTTATTGTACCTCCGACCATGATACAATTATAATTATAATTGGTATCCCCAAAGACGGTTATGTTTTAATTGGGATGATTCAAAGAATTAATTAACTAGAATTTCTGAACAGAGTTTGGAAAAGGAAGAAGTTGTACGAAAATTCATGAAATAAAAATATGAATAAAAATGTAATTAAAAGTCTTTTATTATTCTGTTAAGTCTATTTTTTTAGTAACTTACAGGAAACTAAAGTTTTTTAACCGAAATAGTTGGAGAAAGTCGGAAAACACATGAGAAAAAATCAACATTTTTACTTCCATCAATTTCAGGATCATCCCCAACAACTAAATTTATACATGACAAGATTTATAGTAATCATGTTTTATTAATCATTCCCATAAGATGTTGGATTTTATACAAGAAAAAGCTTAACAAGAAAGGAAAGCTAACTTCGGGCGGAGCCGAAGTTGATATATGTATTATCTAAACATTATTATTAAGAAACTTACATATACACCTATATTTACAAAATAGAAGATAACTATGATTATACTGCTTGTATAATTTAATATTGATTTATTATATTATCTTTAATTAAAAACAATTTATGATAAACCCTTAAATACAACATATACTATTTCGTTAAATCAACGAGCCTGGCCATCAACTTATTGGAATTTCTTAGAGGCCCGCTCTATGAGCCCAATTCTTCAAAGATATAGTCGCAGACATCCTCGACCTGGTAAGTGACCCTAGTCACGGCTAGCTTCGCTATGCGATGGGGCACAAAACCCTCGGTGACCAACCTAACATCCTGTAGCTTAAGGGGCTTGCGCCCCTGCTTAATTCCCATCAAGGTGCCAAAGATTTTGCGCGGCTTTGGCTTCGGATACTTCTCTTGCAATCTAGCTAATAACTCGTTTAAGTGGCCATTTTGCTCCAAGCGCCTTTTGGACAAACGAACGACCCTTCTAGCGGTAACCATTGGCTTATTGGGAAAATCGTGAATGTCGAATGGGTACGGTATAGTATCATCCTCAGTCACGGCATCCGATATGTCGGCATGTTTGGCCGCAGAGATGTTTAGAGCCTCTATTTCAATATAGGTAGTTCCACAATACTTGCCACTAACACTAGAGCTAAGCTTTGCGCTTAGTTTAACAGAATATTGGTCAATAAATCTTGATATAATAGCGGCTGTCAACCTGTCTGTTTCTTTTCGCGACAATAGCGGATGTGGAGGAGTTTGCTTTTTTCCAGTGTTGTAAGCTGCTCCGTTGGAGTTGCCGGAAGTGTCATCGATATTGCAACTGCCACCGTCATCATTCAATTTTTCACCGCCACTAGTAGAGTTTGGAGCCCTAGCGCCACTCAAATTAAAAATACCTGCTCTTTTGGGGGCACCACCAACGGACATTGTGTCTGCATTCGCGGCATCATCTTCGGCAACTAAACCCTGTAGCTTGGAGACGAGTTGAGTGGTGATACTGTTAACTCCTACGTCAGTAATATCAATCAAATTAATAGAATCGCCGGGGACGTTGATGCCCAGCTGGGATAGTAGATCGCATGAGACTGCAGCCACATCCTCAACAGTCATTTTAACCATTTTCTCATCTTCGTCTCCAGTTTCGGCGGAGTCTGCGGCTTTCGGAGCCGACAGTTTGGTGACAAGCTGGGCCGATAGCGAGGCGACATCTTTAGCCGTCATATTCGGAATGTTTGGAATAGACGGTATTATTGTATTATTTTGAAGAGCTTCTAGAAATATTTTGGCGCAATTCACTGCGCATATCTTAGCGCAAGTATGTGAATTATACACGACACTGTTTTCAGCAGCCTTCTTTGGCATGGGCACATCGATTCTGTCCTCGGATGGGCTTATAACCTCCATACTGTCATTCGACGATGCACTGTCTTCCAATACCGACTGACTTTCCGACTCCTGGCGTGTCTGATTTATATTGTGCATATGATTGCTGATCTTTGTGGTGCGCCTGCAATGTTTCAGACCACACAAAACGGCCAGTTTCTTATCTGCTTCACAGTCCCCCAACAACTGGGCAACCATCTTTAACAGGATGCGACTGGTCAGGCTCTTGAGATTGTCGAAGGTGTACGGTAAAAGCTTACAGCGCATATCCTCGGGAAAGAATACTGCGGCATCAAGGAGAAAGTTCATAAATTCGTCCTCGGACATGGCAGCGATTTCCTCATCAGTGGGCATGGAGCACAGACAGTAGTGCACCTCTTTTGGCTTTTCTTCGTTGGTGTTTTTTTTAGCTTTTGGGGAAGATACCCCAATGCCCTGGCTAGTCGACGGTTCTTTTTGGAAAAAATGCTCCGGTTTAATATATTCTTCATCTTCATCTAAAAGAAAAGGTTTATGATATTTGAGCTTTTAAGGTTTAAATTAAATACTTACGCCTAAAACTTAACTCCCTCATTAAGAGAACTACTTTATCGCAACCCACCTCTTTATGACGGTTCTCAAGTTCTTCACTAATCTCCACTTCTTCCTCAGTTATGGTTTTTGGATCCATTTCGATAACAGATTTTAGATCGTTGTCTATAAGAATACAAGCCCATATACAATCAAAATAAATATAAAATAAACAAATCAATGTATTTACCCATTTTCTCTTGATCTGAAATTTTGGAATTTAATTTAATTTGTTCATTACTTGTACAATTTTATTACAACAATCTTTCCGTATATTTTTTTGCAAAAATAATAAAATATCTAATTCATTAGACTGACGCGACCGCTTTTAAACAGTATCAGGCTTTCTATGCCTCTCAGTGTTAACCTCGAACGATTCCTTGAATGAAAAATCGCGCCTACTGATTTGTAGAGATGTAACAACTTGTTTACTTTGGCATTTTGTACTCAAATAATACCAAAATAGCACTCTATCTATATGTATTCTATATACAATAATAAATACACAGTGGTTACAAATGGAGTAATCAATTTGAGAATACAAACTTCTTAAGAAACCACACAATATGTATTATTGTTGAGAGGCACCACATATTGTCTGCCCATATGTTTGGCGAAACGGTCACATTAGGTTATTAAAAGTGCGCCAACTGCTTCTTTTTTTGAATTAACATTTTATTGCACCTTGAATATTAATTTAAAAATATATCAAATATCCATTCATTTTAATTTGAATAAAATCGATTTAAAACTTTACTTCTTTATTTTCTATTTTATAAGTACTATGCTAATTTTAATTTATAAGGATATATTTAATTATATCTATTAAATTTTGAAGTTGTATCGTACATATAAGGACAATAATATCAGAAAGCCTTGAATCATTTGCATTAAAGTCATAATACATTTATTTTAAATACCCAAAAAAAAAGAGAAAATAGTATGGAAAATGTGTCGAGATTGTAGAAAGGAGATGGAAACTTGCGTTGTGTTTGTTAAATCTGTGCACAACCTAATTATCGCCATCTGGTATCACGATGTCTTTGTCCAAAAGTTTCTTGGGCAATACCTCCGGCTTGTTTCGTCCAGGGAATTGGAGCTGGTAGCCGAAGTAATCATAGACGTAGAGCTGTTTGCTATTTATATAGTGAAAGGCCACTGGATAATCCGACAGACAGTCCATGCACTGATCAAAAAATCAAAATTAATTTGAGTTAAACATAACTCAAAGCTAATGCTCTAGCTTACCGATCGTGGATTATAATAGGCATATTTGTAGAGCCAAAAATCCATGCCGTAATTCCCAGAGAGTAGCGCCCCAAAGGGTGCTATAGGAAAGAACCGATTCCGGAGCTGAGTGTCCCTTGAGTCGCCGGCTTTTACGCCAAGATTGTAGAGACATTCTCCAATTTCCACGTCCTCGGCATGATCGTCCTCCTGTCGGCATTTACCGGGATCATTTAGACCTTCTGCAAAAGTCCGAAGAGCCTCGCGAGACAAAACATAGCCACTACCGCCAGACATGTAAGTCTTTGAAAACAAAGTAAAAAGTTTTTAAAATAAATATATTTTTGATTTTGGAAAAAACTCACCTCATTCTTTTTATGATTTCCAACCATTTTGTAGTTGAATCCAAAATAAATGGAAGTATTTGCGGAATAAGGATATAACATATAGCGCATATTTTCCAAAAAGACATAGCTGTTTTCAATAAAGTTTTTTAAAGAGATTTAACACATTTTAAGGATAAATTAAAAAAAAAAAAGATAAATACCAGTCATTAGTCATACCAGGCGCTTATTCCTTTCTATGACACACTTTTACTACGGAGCGCTAGTAAAATTGCACTGACTTGTTTTGAGAAAAGCGTTATAACTTCAACAATTTTCATAATTTCGTAAATTGGTCTCGTTTTATTTAGAATTAATGTGACAATATAGATATGTGTCAAAAATGACACCATTTCTTGGAAGTTGTACCGAAAAAATGGCAGCAAAGTCCGAAAAACACGGAACAAATTCAAAAATGTCAGTTTCTTGTGTAATTTTTTATCCGTTTTGTTTAAATAAATTGAACATATATTTTTTTTCCAAAAGCTACAATATTTAACTATTAAAAAACGTCGGAAATTTTTAAATCGACTTAAAATTACGCGTTAAGAAATTTTTAATAGCAAAAAAACCGTTTTTTCTAAGTAAATCAAGATTTTGAGGGCGTTAGAAATATTTCAAACACAGTTTTGCACCATATTCTACCTAGTAAACAACTCCTACTAGGTCTCTTCAAAAGTTCCAAATCACAGTCGCACTGTGTTATTGGTGGGAAAAACAGCTTTTAGGGACTTTTTAAATACTGTCAGTTTAAGAGAAAAACAAAAACCTAAGCATTTCTAGAGAAAGCTTTCATTGGATGTCATTTCATAAATGTGGATTATTCTCATGAATAAAGTTAACTTATTTGGATAAAGTTTTAGCTGAATAAAGTGATAATTTTGGATATTATCCAGAAAAGTGCACGAGACTACCAGAAAGAGTATCAGGCGCACTCGTAACAAGAGATAAGAGAATACCCACGTGTCGTCGTCAGCTTTAAGGAACCAGTCAGCCTCATCCCGCTTGTGCTCGTACAGGTAAGTGAACGCCTCCTTGGTCTTTCCCCAAAGAACTTCGTACCGATCGGGTTTCTTGAGCAGAATGGTGGGCAGTTCATCGTCCGGGGCAGAGGTCATGAAGTAGATCTTGTTGCAACGCTTGCCCCACGTTCTCATAACGTGCACCGCCCGCGTTTTGTGATACTTGGGAGTGGTTAGGACCCAACACAATATCCTTACCTCGCGATGCAGTTGCTCCGCCAGCGATTCGTTTCTCAGCTCCCCGGTTAGAGGGGCCGTGGCACGTACCGTCAACATCATCACGTCCCAGTATCCATACAATGTTATTAACAGTGTCCCCACGATCAGGGTGAGTATAATGACATGGCTGGTGGCCAGTTTCTGGCCAGGATTGTGTCTACCTCCGCCGGGTAGCACTGGATAGACCGAGTGCTCTACTGCAATATATTCACTCTTCATTTTCCTACTGCCAAGATCCAAATAATCGAAAGCCATTCTCTCCCCACAAGACACACACACAGCTTTCATATATCTTTAAAACAAAAAAGGTGATAAGACAAGAATTGCAAAAACTGATAAATGCCACAACATTTCAATCACGATTTGCTAATTTATTTTAACGTCCCATAAGAGTATGGAAAGAAGAGAGACAGTTCTATATATAGATGTACCGAAGTCAAGTAATATCTATGCGGCGAGTCTTGTTGGATGCAACGTTCCAATTTTTTGCAATCTCTTTCCGGCAGTTTCAAACATTGTTAAAATGTTTAGGTGATATTAATTGATTAACCCGTTGCTTCTCTTTCTAAAAAATAGTACAAATAATTAGAACAAATATTTTTTTCCGGTTTTTCAATGTTTTTCAATGCCTAAGAAAATAATTGAAACACTACTTTTGAATGCAAATATAATAGATTAGACTAGCAAATTTGTTAATTTTAAAAATACTATAATTCTATATTCATTTAGACTATATTTAAAGCTATAGCTATCAGCTATAATCTATTAATAAATTAATTTTTAATAAAAGCTCAAAACTTTAAGAAAAGCGAATTTCTTTGAAACCATAATAGAAAAGTAAAGATTAGAAATAATATATAACAAATATGTACAACCCAAATTGGAAGGAATAATGTCATAAATGATGGAATTTAATATTCTCCTTTATTTATTTAAATTTTCTCTATCCTCATTCATTAATCAAAACACCTAAAAAAACACTAAAGAAGAAAAATATTCCAAAGAAATAATAGAAAAGCCCCAAAAACAAAAAAAAAACAGTGGAAAGTTGGTGGAAAATCTTTCAATTAATCATGAGCGACATGTGGTCTTTGCTGGACGGTTTTCGTGGGCGGTTTTGGAGTGGGGACTTAGGTTCTGGGATCTGGGCGGAAGGGGGCGTGGCATAGTGGCAGGAAGACCGCCAAGAGCGCGAGAAAAATTATATAGCGCATACGCCCCGTGGGGCAGTTGCCACTCGCGTGCAAATAAATGGCTCTCACCATGCTGTGGACGCATCCTTTTTACCAAATACAATAACAACTAGCACGCTTTATCCTCTTCTGTATGAAATAAAAAATAATTCCCATTAATAAAATAAAATGCAACCGGACGACTCTAAGAATGAACACTATTTGACATTGTGGGCGTGTCCTTTCGAGATTTTCCACTCAAGCCCACCGTCCCCCTCCCCCACCCAAACAAATACAAATTTTTCCAATAAAAGCCATGGCTTTTCCTCCCCTTTTTTTGTGCCTGTCAAAATTAGTTTTGGCGAGAGCAAACAGTTGAAAAAAATGCAAATAGCCAGGCTGGACAGGCCCGGGCGAGTGGGTGAAAAATGCCTTTGACCTTTTCGATGACGTGACCCACATGGGGCCAATGTACCAATCAGGCGTTCTGGGATTGCAAAAGAGGGCTATATATGGGTTTTTGGCTATAGCATTTATTATTATCATGTATTTTTTGAGAACTCTTTTGTTTAGATTCGTTTTTAAAAATCATTAAACAACTGGAAAGAACAATATATGTATAGAGGGTTTTTATTAAAAATATATCAATCAATCTACGTTTCAATCTACTTAAATATTGATTTTAACAAGTACCGGTTATCTTATATCCCTATAGTTGTCTTTCCTTCCGAGTATTTAAAGTTAGAATACTTATATTTGTTAAAGAACTTTAATTTCGAAAATGTAGCTTCCCCACTTCATTGGTCCTTTTCAATCCTTTCACCTGAATGACCACCATTGTCTGTATCCTGACTATTGCCAGGCACAATCAACAGTTTCTTTCCATATCCATCTGGCATTTGGTGAGCGGTTCGCAGGCTCAGGACAATAAAAATGCAGCCAACCAGCAAGGACAAAAACGAGGTGGAGACACTCCCCACTCGGTCAACTTGAAATTGTAAAAATCATAAAAATAAAAACCAAAGTCAAATGTATAACTTGTCGTTTTTTATCTTTGTTTTTGTAATAATGTTAGCTTTTGGATTTTACAAACGCGCCAAGGCAAACGCCATTTGTCTCGCTGACTGACTGTACTTCCTCCTTTTCCCTCTGCCATCCCTATACCCCTCTCTTTCTCTTTGTCTATAGCTGTCTTTTTCTTTTTTTAGTTTCTGTCTGCATGTAAATATTTGTGCATGGGCATGAGTGCTCCATGGCTTTGTTTGATCTAGAGATGGTCCGGTTTTTTGGGAATATTTTTCTAATATTTGTAAAGTTTTTATGTTTCCTTGAGTTTTATAAACTTCAAAAATTTTAATTTTTTTCCAGGGAAAATAATTTATACTTTTCATCAAAAAAATAAAATCGAACTTCCCCTGGAATCGAACTTCTACTGAAAAAAAGCTTACAAATATGGTTAATTTTCGTTTTTTGGTAAGTTCTAAAAATTGTTTAAATTTATCTTTATATTTAATTTTTATTGAATATCGTAAAAATATATTTTATCATCTCCATTGCATCCTTTCTCTAAAACACACACTCACTCACATAGTGAGACATCAAACGTGCAAACATTTGCCATATTTTTGTAATCAAAGTAAACAATCCACTTAACCCAACACCAACATGCAAAGCGACTGCCAGCTCACTTTTCTTTTCCTTTTTCTCTACCCCCCCGTTTCCCCAAAAAAGGAAACGTCTTTGGCAATTTCGCTTCGATTTTTTTGTTTCCTTTTTTTTGGCGAAATGGAGGCCAACGACATTGCCAACAATCTGGTTGGTGCACTACACCATCAGGCACTGAGAAAAAATGTAGATTTAATTTTACTTTATTTAGAATTAAATAAATGTTTCGTTATAATATCAGATTTCAACTAAAAACATCAAAAGGTCTCAAAAGAAGTCAATCAACTGTATAAAAAAAGTCTAACGCTTAGAAACACTTTTGAAGTCTTAAAAACACTTTAACAAAATTTTAAGAACTATATAATATCTATAGGTTAATTTTATGATAAATATATATTTATTTTATAGAAAAATATACATTTTTTAAGGTGCCCTTAGTGTCCGTTCATCCATCTCGTCAGCCAAGCGTTTGTTGCTATTGTCACTATTTCCATGGGTTTTCCCCCTAAATACGCCGTTTTTTTGGCGGACATGGACAGCGGAAAAGGGGCAAGTTAGAAGTGTAAACAAAAAAAAAAGGGGGGGGTTTGTCTATGCACAACTCCTGGGCACGTGATGCCTTTCGATGTCTTGGCTCGTTTTTTATGCAAACAGCATTTGAATTTGAAATGAAAACGCTGACGGGAGCTGCCAATTCCAATGCACATGGAAAATATGTATATATGTATATATATTTACGTATATAGATCTGGTTACTGGGATATGAGACAACCGGATAGTCCTGCAGGACTCGACGTCCTTCGCCGCAGGAGGGTCCAAAAAAGATGCCATTTCCGTTGCATACTTTTCAGCGTTGTGCGGTTGCTTTCCGCAAAAATGATATTACATGCGAAATCTCGTTTTTAAAAATAAAATAATAGAGTTCCATTGGGGGTAACTCGGTTTTTGGATAATTTGTTTATTTTTTTTAGATATTAAGTTTTAATTTTTTTTTAATATTTTTGCTTTTGTGTTTTATATATAAACGGATAGACATGGTCTAAGATTTTTTCTATATTATTGTTTTCTAAATTACGGTTTTAAGGCTCTTAAACAAGATAACTAGTAAAATTTAGGAAAAAATATTTAAATGTTAAAAAATACATAATAAATAAAATGAATTTTTAAGAAGTAATTCTCATAAAACTTTACTCTACAAGAAAAAAATTTGAGTTATAATTAAAAAAAAATTTAAAATCCTTGCAAACCATCTTAATCCAATTCACCCTGCTTTTTTGGAATTTTTGTGACCATTGTGGCATTTTGCATGGAGAGGGGAAAAGCATGAGTGGAAGGACCTAAAGAAGGAGCTTCAGAAGTGGAAAGAGTAAAGGAGTTTTTGGGTAAATAGTTTTTTACATCAGAAACAAACACACACGGGAAACGCAATGACAAAAAGGCCATAAAAAACAATGCCGGCAACTCTGTTATTACATTTTCATACACACACACATACAACACATGTAAATGTGGTTGTGAGCGGTTTTTATTGGCATAAAGAAGCTAGTGGAACACCTGTTCCAAGGACCAAGGACTCACGACCAAGGACCACGGAACACGGACCACGAACCATGGACCAGGGACCAGAGACCAGAGACATGGACATCGAAATTCCGACCAAACATTCCGACATCCCGCTGTCGCGAATTCATTTGCATTTGCATTATATCCCCGTATTTCCTCCCTACCTCCCTCCCCAATCCTTTTTTGCCAGTCGCAGGACCTCACTTTTATTACTATTTTTGGTTAGTTTTGCTGCATTACAAAATGTGTGTGTTGACATGTTATGATTTCGATGTAAATGTTGATCCTGTGCAAACATTTTTCCAAAGCCAAAAAAAAATGGAAAAAATAATATCAGAAAAGTCCAGTTGTTGGAGTTTTAAATGAAATTGGTTTGGCTTTTTGGCTTTTACAGGTGCAATCAAGCAAATAAGTCTAAAAACTACGAATGGCTTAAAATAAAAAAAGGATAAAAAATAAGCCACTGGATTACGATGGAAGGCTGGATGACAGATGGCGAAAAAATCACATCTGCCATAATATCTCTTAAATATTGAAAAACTATGAAAAAATGTGCCATTTAAAAAACATTTGTAAATTATAAGCTTAAAGTTTAAGAGCTGTACAGTGTTAACTTTTTTAAATATTTTTTAAGGCTTGAATAATATATATTCTTGCATGGAAAAGAAACGTTTAAGCCACAGAATCGCGTATTTATGACCCACAAGTATCATTTACTTTACAGCTTAATAAATAACACCACATTCTTGGTGTAATATTTCCCCCAAAAAATAAATATATATCTTATCGAATGGCGGTCATAAAACTCAACCGACACATTCTCATAAAATGCTTCTATAGACGATGCACTTAACTAACACAGGATATTATTATCCTTCAGAGTTGTTTACTCATTATCGATAACAAGTACTTTTATTCGTATTGATTACCAATGGAGAGGAGAAACTCCTCCACAAAATATCGGTTACTCTGTTTACTTGAATTTTGATCATTAGATATTGGATTGGAAGTCGAAATGGAGAGGGAATGCATTATTCTTGCGGCTGCTACTTTTGGCTTTTAATTAAATATTTTTTCTAGGATTTCGTTTGGCTTATTCGCTGTCAGAATCCTGTGACAGGACATGGACATGGTTGTCCTGGACTATTTCTTTGCCACAAAAGTTGTCAGTCGAATGTCAGTTCTGGCCAAAAGATAAATAAATAAGCTCTCGGTCTTGGCGTTAAGCAAGTTGTGTTGTTATCCTTGCAGTTCTCAGCTACCGCCTCCTGGTCTCCACCCACTCTCACTCCTACTTTCACTCCGATTTCTGCTACGTTTTTCTACTCCCCCCCCACACGCCGGCGGATTTTTACTGCTATTGTTGTCACGCGAGCCGGTCGCGCATTTTCAATAATAATCTCTTGTCCTGGGCATAAATGTCGCATTAAAATGTCACGCACTTGTGGCTTAATCACGCCAAAGGATAACGGCTTGTCCACTGCCACAAGGATTACACAGCAAGAATAGGTTCGATGTCTAAATGCAGAGATATATAAAGAAAATTATGTTTAGAAAAAAATATATATACATATTTTGAAATACAAGTTTTTTAATATCGCTTAAGGCTTTTGAATAATTTGTATTGGAATAATATATTTTATTTAAATGTATATTATCTTTTAAGAACTTAACTCTTAATTTATCATTTAACTATCATTTTTTCTAAATATTTCTTACAAACATTAAAAAAATATATATTTTCTAAGTGCCCTAACAAAAAAAATGGACATGCACTTGAATAGTCAGCAGGCTTCCAATCTCTTGTTGTCCTTCGTAGGATACTAGACCACCAGGCGCTTGTGTAGTTGGGGGCGGGGCTAGGCGGGCTCCATAGGCATTACTTGTTTGCGGTTTTTATTATATCATGCTCATGTCAAATGGGCTCAGCATTGTCACATTCTTGGCTCCGCTTCCGCATTCGCCAGCTCAGCGTCCTGTCAGAGCTCTTAAACCAAAAGTCCTGCCATCTCCGCATCCGCCAGCATCCTTGCTTTTCAATCTCACATCTAAGTCCTGCGGCTCGTTCGTGTCCTTCATCTAAATCTCGAGCTGCCAGTTATTACACATTGCCAGCGTCTTAATGTCGGCAATTGTGTGACGCAAGGATGCCACAAGGATATTTCGAGTGTTTCGTCCTAATTCAACATTGAACAACAGGTGGCGCGCCAAAAAAAAAAAGCCTAAATATAACTTGAATTTTCTTAGCTTCCGGTTTTTTAAATCTAAATACTTTTCAATAAATTTTAATAAATCATAAAAAGATATAGAAATAATATTAAAATCTTTATGAAATTGAAGGGCATTTACATTTCGCTAATAATTGTATAAATAGTTCACATTTTGAAACCAGAGTCTGCAATTGGCAGCCACATTTTATAAGTTAAGGCACGTTCCAGTGGTTAGGTCCACTCTAATGCCTGGTCATTGCACCACAGAACCACAAGGCACCACACTGTAGCACCCTTGGCACTACCAGCCACCATCCGGAACCACCCGGAACCACTTTGCTGCAACCATTTTAGCCTGCATTTGAGTGCCGCAGTGGAAACGCCAAGTTTATTTGCTGAGCTGGACCAAAAAACTCAAGTCCAGCCGAAACCTCAAAAGCCAAAATCTGATTTTGCACACAAAGAAATTTATTCTTCATTTTGATTATGCAGATATTTTTAATAATTCTAAATAGTGATTTACCATAAAAAACGCCCTATAAGTACTGACAGAGTACGGAGTACAGAGTACAGACTTTTAATCAATAAATACTACAAAATACCTTAAATAATAAATAAGGTGTAAGTAAATAAAAATATACAGATAAAAGGCGGACTAAACCTTAAAGATAGTAAAGAACAATTTTTAATATTATTTTAATCTACTTAAATTTTCTTACTATTCTATAAACAATAAAACATACATTAATAAATTTATTAAGTACTCCACTAGTATCGAGTATGAATAGTTAAAAATGAACCTTTTTAAGAAACTGAAAATCCTGTAGACAAATTTCTCTCACTGCAACGAGTCAAGTAACTCTTCTTGATAATCAAAAAGCAGTTTTGTGGGAGAATCAGAGAAGGGGAGGGCTTTGGTTGAATCAGAAATTGAATTATGGGCCAAGAGAGCCACTACGGCTACTGTTCCAACAAATGCCAAGGACATTTTCTGGGGCTAATTCGATTAGACAGTTACAAATGTTAATTCAATTTGCATTGTCAATTAAATCGCTATCCAAAGACTAAACCATAATTGCATTACCAGCATATTTGCTAATATACATATATATATATATTTATTTTATATACATATCTATATATATTTTGGTCACAAATTTTCAGAATTTTGCGCAACGCCCACTTTTCCAGAGGGGGATTCTGTAATTTTGGCCAAGTATTTCTTTGGTGATTGGCCAAAATAGAAAGTTTTTGTGGCAGCCAGCCGCAGTGTCGCCCAAGGAGTTCGTGTATCCCAAGTCCTGTATCCTGTTGCCTTAGTCCTTTGCACTCGAGTGACTTGATGAAAAGGCCGAGTCTGAAATGCCTCACTGATTGCCCAAAAAGGTTTTTTTTCCCCCCCGTTTTTTGGGGTCAGAGTACAAGAAGTTTCCGTGTGATTTGGTCGAAAAATTGCCAAATCTTTATTTTGTGTGGTCGAAGTCCATTCATTATGATTTTCACCTACTAGTATAATTTTGGGAAAATCTAAAAGGAAGTCTGCAATTTCGTTTATTGCATTTTCTATTTGCGATTGAGGCTGGATATTCATGAAATAAACAACTTTTAAACATTTATAAAGAATATATTATTTATTAAAAACTATATACAAAATAAAGGAAAAAAAAAATACAATAAACTATCATTTAATTTGAACCACAAAACTCACTCAACCAAAACCTATTTAGGTATAATTACCCAAACAAAGGGGCCCAACAAAAATGATTTCAAAAGAGATTAAATATTATTTTTATAATCATTATTTTCATTCATTTAATATACAAAGCGATTAATTATAATCAACAATTATGACGCAATCGCTTAGTTGTTTTTACCTAAGTACAAGCATTGAATTATTTGATAGGCATAATCGCAACGATCAGTGATTTCGTCATCGTACTTCTGTTTACAATCAGCCAAAATAATTTTCTCATCATCTCTGGCTCGGTTTTCCAACTTTTTCAGGTCGATTTTGTCATCATCGCCAAAGTATTCATCGGCTATGCAGCGGCTGTAGCATTTGATGTTGTGGGGAACCTCGGAGAAAGGCAAGAATGGCGGCACGTCTTCCACCTGCTTGCTGGTTAAGTTATAAAGCCTTAAACAGTCTTCGGCAGCAAAACAAATTGTGAACTGTATGTGTAAATATTTTATTTTTAAAATATATTCAGCCTTGTAACTTATTTTCAATTTCAGCTCAACTCACCCAAAGCAGAAAGAAAAGGCAGAATGTAGAAATACGTAGAACAACCATCATGGATCACAAAAATTTCCAAACTAAAACTGAAAAACAATGGGAATCTCTATATACTTGGAATAAGTCTAATTTGGAGCCTGAAAGTATGCTTCATATTCATAATGGCTTATTTACAAAATTTACTACAGAAAACGGTGGAAAATAACTAAAATTATAACCTAGTTATAACGAAAATAACTAGGCCTATACTTGATGTCAAAATGTATATATATTAAGAACAGGAATAAAAAACACAAAAGACTCAGATTTTGTTTATTAAGACAAAAAGATTTTACTTACCATTCTAAAGTTTAAAAAATGTTCATGACCAATAATATAGTTTAGAACCTGAGCTATGTTGGTTTAAAACCCTTAGCTAAAAAGAGCTAAAAATAAAATGTAAAAGACATTTTTTAAATTTGAATGCATTAATATTAGAAGTATAACTATAAGAATTTTTTAGCTTTATTATCAACATCATAAACATTTTATAGGTATGTATGTATATACAATATGTATATCAAAAGGTCGATATAAACCTGTTGGCAAACTAACTATTCCATTAGTATCAAAACTAAAACTGAAAACTAAAACTCAAAATCTTCGATTAGGAAAATTAGGACGATTAGCAAACTTTATTTTTGTAGAAAAATTAGGACGATTAGGAAACTTTGTTTATTTTTGTTTATTACACTATTTTTATTAAAATAAATACCTTTACAACAACACAACAAGTACAAGTACAACAAAATGTATTTATTTCAATAATTTAAAAACTGAAAGATTCAACTTTTAAAAATTATGCTCACCTTATGATCTAAAGAGACTCCTAAGGAAGATCTTGAGAGTATGCCTTTCGCCCCGCATAGAGAGTATTTTTACTTAAAATGCTCTACTCAATATATCAGAAGCTATTTATTATTTTTTTTTTTTTGTAAAAATAAAAAAAGTAAATACTTTACAAAAATTATTAAACTAAACAAGAAAGGAAAACTTGCTTACCATTGTATCTCTTTATTTTTAAAATTAAGTAAATTATGTGAAAGACAAATCATACAACTCTAGCTTGAGTAGTTTACATTATTTCACATTAAATTTTCGAACTCAGGGGGCGCTTATCTGGTGACGCCAGATAACTTATCAGTGGTTGAGGCTGATCCTGAAATTTCTGAAAATCAAAATGATGATTTTTCTTTATGTGTTTTCCGACTTAGATTAGAAAACTTTAATTTCCTGTAATTTACTAAATGGACTCACTAGTGATGGACTAGCTGTTTTAAGAAGTTTTTATCCAGAATTTTCGCATCATTAGTTTTGACTTCCACTTCCACTTCTTTATTATCCGAACTTTTATTTTCGGCCATCTTGTCTTCATTTTGTGTCTGCAATTATTGAATCAGAGTTTGTCTGATTATTGAAATTAGCCAGAAGCTTTCTTAACATTTCTTCTGATTTTACAATTTGCCCCATTTTTTCAATGTCTTCGCTAAATTTTTTTTCAATAATATATTTCAATAAAATTTAGAAAAAAAATAAATGCAATGATGAGGATCACTGGTAGTATCATTTATTTGTTTTTTTGTTAAGAATAAACTTTCTTAAAGTATCACTGACTGAATTTCAACTAATGCTGCGAGACTCTTGGCTCTGGCTTTTTAAATCATCCTCCACCTTGAGACCGAGCTTGAGGTTAAGAGATTCTCATAAGTCTTCTTGAGAGAGCTTTTAACGGAATTGGGACTATGATAGCACGCATATGGAAAAGAAAACAATTCCGTAGACAGCTTATGTACGGATCTGATGTCAAAGGTTATTTGATAAGGAAGAATTTATATACATTTTAATTTCTTGGTGATTTCTCCAAACAATGAATTGTATAGTTTAGCTAATTAATGGAGTATATAACATACATTTATAAATGTGCACGCACTTAATGACAGGACATTCGTGCCATCTTTCAGACACGCCACATTCAATTACAAAAAAAAAAATTTGTCTTCAAAAAATACTATTCCTTGTAGAACATCAGCTAGTTTCTCTAAGCTAGAACCAATGTTGTGCTTCATTTATTTTTAAAAATCCGTAAAACACCCTAAAATAAACAATTAAAACAACCATTTAATTTACATTTTGAATGTTCTCCATTTATTTATTGAGATAGAAATTATACAATGTTTTTGGCTTTTATAATCCGAGCATTTCGTAACAAAAAAAAAAATACATGTAGCCTATCTACTGTACTGGTTTTTATCCATATAATGCATATCATATATATGTATATATTAATATTTTTATTCAGTTTTTTTGCAATTTTTGCCAAACAAGGACTCCCGCATTGCAACGAATATCACTTTTCACATATGATATTTAGACAAAAAAAAATTTAATAGAGTGAATATATCGTCATGTTTCACTAATATTTGTTGGGGTCCGCCACAGGCAGTGCTCACTGTACCGCCACGCAGCTTTAATGTTATACTATTAGCAGTTTCTTTGCTTTTCTTTAGTGTTAACTTAGTCTACTGTCTTTTTGGTAAGTATTTTCATGATCTATGATTGTATGCTTCCAATGAATAAATAAGTTTTTAAAAAGAATTATTAAAAATTATTAAAATTAGTGAACAAAAAAAGACATCGAATTAAAGCTGACATAAAGACACACAAAAAAAATGTTTAAAATAAAATGGAAAGCGTGGTGGATGGTGAGTTTTTGGGTTTCTTCTTTTGTTTTGTGATGTGATTTTTGAGGCACCTAAATGTTATGTTATAGAAAGGGGCGTGGCAGCAGGAGGCTGATATATGTTTAGCACACAAGACGCTCGTTATCGGGCTGAAAAATGCGATCATAGTTCTCTATCAGGACCTTGGCTAGCATATTCATGCGACCGATATCCAGCTGGATCTGGTTGGCACTCAAGAGGCAAGGACCCCAGACGATGGCCAGGTTGGTGGACGGCATACGATTGGAGCCACTGGCAGCAGCCACTCTGGAAAATTATAAAGAAAGATAAGTAACTTTATTTTTAAACTGAATAATTTGTCTATTTCAAAGAAATAGTTCCTCACCTGGTCAAGTGCTGAATGAGAAAGCGTAGAGTGGAGCGATTCGGTTCCGGCATATCGTCAAAGGCGATACGCATGCGCTCGATGGCGGCATCGTCGGAGAGATTACGGCCCAGACGGTCGTAGGCCTCCTGGGTGATCAATGGAGCGGCCAGCTCCCGGAAGAACTGCTTGTGCAGGCTGGTCAGCGTATGGATGTCGTCGGTCTGGAGCCAACGCGGATCATAGATGTGGGTCAGTTTCTTCTTCAGTTCATCGACCAAAACCTTATTGCCCGAGGCACGGTAGAGACCGTCCTGTTCGATGCACTCAGGTCTCTCGATATAGGCACAAACGTCCACCACGAAACGGGGAACATTCGGATGATCCGTCATATTCAATTCCAAAGCATTCAAAGGAGCCGAAAATAAAGGATACTTTTGCTGCTCATCCAGATACAGGCTGGTAACTTGGCCGCGACGCTGACGGGATTTCTTTTCGCTCTTCGGCGAGCGATTACTAAAAAAATGAGTACATATATTAATATATTTATTTAATGACATATTTTTTAAGCAATTTTTATTACTTACATGCGAAACACATTGCTATTGACGGCAACTGCAATAATTTATTCGTCGAAGTCACGGGGCGCCAAGTATGGAATGAGAAATTTATTAATAAAAATTTGTATTTCATTTATGGCTTAAATAGTATAATATTTTGGGCTGAAACCCACATTCCGACAAACGTCTATCGATGAGGGCTATGCCCATGGAATTTTTCGACATTTGTGTGTAAAACTATATATAAAACTTAAATGTAGAAATCTGAATCGGAATCCAAATCAAAACTATCTGAGAGACACTCCCGACTTTCAATCACAACAAATTGCGTATGAATTAATATTTTATTTTTTTTTTTTGGTCAGAGCCCACGCAAAGCTCTCGAAGTCAATCTCTCAATATGCCACTCAATCATTCATTCATTCGGTTTATTGCGCTTTTAAAAATTCCTTGCCTTTTGGGCAAGATCATGAATCATTTTCTCGCTTTGCATTTTTTGCATTCAAGCCGAAACCGAAAGAGAGCCAGCAGGCAGTGAGTGTGTGGTTAGTTTTATAGGAATTCCCCACCAAAGTGAAACCTGCCTCATTAATAATAGGAAATGCCTCTTATAGAGGCCTCACTGTACTGGGTAGCCTTAGCAGAAGTCACTCAGTCACTGGGTTTTCTGTGTGTGGGCCGAACGACCTTAAAAGGCCAAACTGGCAACAAGCTCTGACTTGGCAGGCACTCGAAAAAATCATCTATACAGCTTAGAAAATATTTGTTGGCTAACAAAAAAATTAAGAGTTTAAATTAAAAATTCTATTAAGTTTCTCACAGTTGCACTTTCTTTAAAACCAAACCTATAGTTTCTTTCTATATAATTTTTTCAATTTCCTTTAATATCTCTTCCTTTTGTTCAGTGCCCTGCATTTATTTTTTAAACTTGGAATAGAAATTCCCAAAGACACAGACTGCCGGGCGCCCTGTTTAAACCGGTTCATTGGTTATTTTTGTAAAAGAAAAACTCATTGATGACCAAAGTAATGATAGTTTCTTTTTTTCATCAAAAGCAAAGCGGATTTGGTTACCATTTAATTGCATTATAAACGAGGGCTTAAAGTCTTACGATTTTGCCAAAAAAAAAAAATTTAAACAAAAGAGGTGATACTTAAAAAGTATTATAAATTGCTAAAAAAAGAAAAAGTTCTAAAGTGAAATATTAAAAGGAATTTTATCCAGCAGCTCTAGATCTATCTAAAATAGATCTATCTTAGGAGTTGTAATTACAATTTCTTGAAAGCTAGTTTGTAATATATATTTACTTAATTTTATTAATATTAGTAAACAAAAATTATTTAAAATTGCAATCGAATTAAAGAAAAATACGAATTTAAAGCTTTTGTGTACCAGTTTTGAATATAATTCAAGGATATTTTAAAATGCCAATAATTTAACAAAAATCGAATTTTAAAATTTTTAACAAAGCTTTTTAAGTAAAGTCTTAAATTCAAGTAAAATATAAGCTTTGTTTTAATATACATATTTTTTGTAATGTAAGATATAGGAAATAAAAATAAGAAATATAGTATGATCAAATATAATAAAAAGATTGGTTTTCCTCGCATTATAATAAAAATAATAATAATAAATCGCTTCAAAAACCTCCTAAGATATATCTTTCATTACTTTTCGACCCAAATAATATACCCCAGCACTTAAAAAAAAAAACCCATAACTTAATAGACTTTATGAACACTTGCAGACACTCACACTTCATGCGCATGCGATTCTTGATGGACTTCTTGTCATCCTCCCCGGGCAGGTCCAGAAGATTGCCAATGGAGACGCTCTTGAAGCGCTGGAGAATCGTAGACTGTTGGCTCTGCTGCACCTCATTGTCCTCCTGGATCTGCTGTGCCCGCAGAATGTCAGTCACTGGCACAATCTGAAAGATACAAAGATACAACATGAACATGAGAGTGAGACACGCAATCCGCATAAATATTCAAGCAAGTTACGAGTAAAATCCATGGAAGTTGTCTATAGAGGTATTAAGAGGGGGTTTTAAGGGGGGTCCGAATGAGTGGTGTTGTTCTTGGGAAGATTTCTGCGATTGCTAGTTTAAACACAATTGAGATAGACAATCCGACAATCGGAGTAAAGTCGGCAAATTAATTGCACTTTTTCGTGTCAGGTTGTTTTATTGTGTTTTGCGTTTGTTTATTTTTTAATTTTTTTTTTAAGGAAAAATGATACCCTGGTTTTTAAGGAGTTTATAGGTTTTTTTCTTAAATAATTATAGACAAATAATTTTTAGTTTTACAACCAGTTTAATATCAGCTTTAACTTGTTTTGCCACTTACTGTACTTTAGAAATTCTATAAAATTCAATAGGTTCTTATAATTTATTTTAACTATAGTTAAAAATTGTATCAAATTATTTCATTATATTTCAAGAGATATTTAAAATTCGTTAGCCCCTTTTAACATTTAGAGGAGGGAGTACTAACTTTGTAGTTTAAAAACGAAACTAGATGGTAGTGCCCTCTAGGTTCCAGGCCATCGCTTACCGTGGTTTGTCTGCGCTGCTTGGCTGCTCGGGACGCCATTTGTTATCGCTCGTTCGTTCTATATCTTTACCGACGACACTATCTAGCCTCTCGCTCTAGCTATACTCTATTATATCTATCCGGACGGAAGGTCGGAAAGACGGAACGGAACGAAACGTAAAACAGAGACCCGCAAAACACGACAAACACAAATAAACGTATTGATAAGAAATTGATTTCAAATGGTGTGAACTGCACTATGAAAATATATATATGGAATATATTTTCTCAATAAATTTGTAATATAAATTTTAAATATGTTTTTTTAATATTTAATTTTTTATTTAAGGAAAAACCAGAACTATAATCGCAAGTGCTCGAGATAACGTTTAAGCCCAGAATGGCTCTCCAAGGTGTTGGGTCCGTTGCATTTAAGGCCTTTTGCCGCGCCCACTAGTAGATCGCCACCCACTACCCACCAGCTGGCACTGGGACTCCGCACCACCCCAGACCACCGCGGCAGCGCCATTACTCCACAGCCACATAAACAAAATCCTCCGGTTATCGGTGACACAGCCCCGAACGCCAATCGGGGGGATATTCTAAACCAAAGTACAAGTGCTCCATAAAACCCTGTGTATATCAATATGGGACTTGTATATAGTATTACATTATATAGTATAGTAGAAATACTTAGTACACATATATTTTCACAAGGCCTGATATATTTTATTTATATTGTTAGTTACATATTTAAAGATATGTAAGAGATATCTAACTAAAATGTAATGTAATTACAGAGATCTTCTAATTTAAAATGTATCAAAATAGAATCGCTTTCAGGTTCTTTCAAGGGCTATTATGTTTTTAAAGTAAAATTAATACAGAAAGCTTGTAATTAATATTTATATTTAATCATCTCAATCCAAATAAAATGCTTCTTTTTTTTGAAGCAAAGTACTTGTTATTTGAAAATGGTTCCTTTTAAAAAACGTTTGTTTCAATAAATTACCAAGAGAGAATCTTATTATAGTTTTAATATTGATGGAATTGCATAATCTATGTTTTGTTTATCGTTTTATATAAACGTAAATTGAGTAATTATACTATTAATATGATATAGGACAAACATTCTGTAAGGTAGAACCTAAAGACATATTTCTGTTTGAAACACTCCCTAAAACTCTTTGGACAAAAAAAAAACATATAATATAAGGAGCAATTGTTATTAAATTTTAGGTTAATTGTAGTTTTAAATAATTAACACATTAACATTAAAAATGTGTTAGGTTTACTGTTCAAAATGATTCATATTTAAATTTTAAAATGGCTTTAAAGATGTCTAAGTGAGAAATGCTTTGAAATCTGACAAGAGATTTTGAAAACTCTTTCTAGTAGTATTAAAAACAAGAAAGCAAAGCTAACTTCGGGCGGAGCCGAAGTTGATATACCCTTGCAGCTAAAACCGGATATATATTGCAAACATCGGATATAGTTGGCCAATCCTTATGATTACATCATAAAGAAAAAAAGTCCCAAGCTTCTATCTTCAAAAATACAAAAGTTGATATTTCTACCAAATACCATTTCCGATCGTTTAGTTATATGGCAGCTATAGGATATAGTCGGCCGATCCTAATGAAATTTTGTAGGTCGGATTAACTGACCAAAAATAGAATGTGTACCAAGTTCTAGCTTTCTATCTTCAAAAACACGAAAGTTGGGTCATTTCCGATCGTTCAGTTATATGGCAGCTATAAGATATAGTCGGCCGATCCATATGAAATTTGGCATGTCATATTATTTTGCCAAAAATAGCTCTCATGTCAATTTTTAGCCCTCTAACTCTAAAAACACCAAAGTTATACCATTTCCGATCTATCAGTTATATGGCAGCTATAGGATATAGTCGGCCGATCCGGGCCGTTCCGACTTATATACTGCGTGCAAAGGAAAGAAGGGTGTGTGCAAAGTTTCAAGTCGATAGCTTTAAAACTGAGAGACTAGTTTGCGTAGAAACAGACAGACGGACAGACGGACAGACGGACAGACGGACATGCTCATATCAACTCAGGAGGTGATCCTGATCAAGAATATATATACTTTATAGGGTCGGAGATGTCTCCTTCACTGCGTTGCACACTTTTGGACAAAATTATAATACCCTCTGCAAGGGTATAAAAAAGGAAGCAATGGATTTAGGCATAATTGTCTAATTCTAAAATTTATATATTATAAATATTATTATATTTGTATTAAAATGCCAATATTTTAACACCCTATTGAGCAAAAATCCCCAACTAATTAGTTTTAATTCATTCAGTTTTCAACATATTTTCGCCAATAAACTAAATTAAAACTTAAAAAAAACCTTGATTGTTTCCATTTAAAAAAAAAAAAGTTTTTTTTAGCTAGCTTTCTTTGAAACTTATGTGTCATTTAATATCCAAACATTTAATTTGCACCATAAGTGCAAATCTTGTGAAAAGTAAAAGGTGGCAGCTTGAAGTGCCACCTTGAGTTCCCCTGAATAGCGTCTATTGAAACAGATGTTAGGCGGCCAGAAAATCAAAACATATAACGTAAGCTAATATGACTAGGAATATATAAGCTTTCTACAAACACATATGATTTAATTTGTTCAGCAGAAAAAAAAGAAAAGGAAAAGTAATGGTTCTGTGTGAAGAAAATATGTAATATTTCACAATAAACCAAGTTAGCAACCTAAATGTTCCGTCATATTTTGAACCAATTCTCTTACAATACTGACCAATTTTAATGGCTAACGGAAACGGCTAAAAACCTTGTTTATGCCAAATTAAATAAACAGAAAAAAACTCAAATTGTGGAATAAACAAAAAAAAAATGGAAAGAGTGAAATCAATCTGTAGGCCAAAAACAGAAAAACAAATTCACACGAAAGCCAAAGCAGAATATCAAATTCGATTTTTCGATAATTGTATTGTATAGAGACCCCCCTTCCAGTCCCCATCACTCCCCCCGATTATTTTCACAATTAGCACTTGATAATTTTCAGCAAAGTCAAGCCACGCCGTTTGAAATGATTAGAAGCAATTAGTGTTTTGGACGAATTGTTTCGATTTTGTACATTTTCGTTGAAAAAAAAGCCCCGATTTCATTTTACACGGAACATTTGGGTAAATATCCGTAAAAATATCTGTGTGTGGAAATGGAAATTTATGGGAGTGCTAGCCCCAGAAAAAAAACACAAATAAAATAAAAATAAAACCAATTTAATTGATACGACCTCGACTAGTACATGTGTTTGCTTTGCTTTATTCGCGTATCTGTATCTATGTATCCAAGTATCTATGTATCTACATTTGTCTTACCGTTGGCCACATGATTCACTAACAAAAAAATAACTATAAAAACACTAAAGAAAATAAACAAATAAAAACTGAGAAATAAACCAAACAAAGGCAAATACAGTTGACCTTTGTTGTTATGGATTTTGGCTAGTTTTTTCAGGAGTTTATTCCGAGCTTTGAAATATAGGTTTTATGAAGTACGACCCAAACAAAGGTCTTAAGAAACTAAATTCAAAAATTAGAGCTTCAAGCACTTGAGTTTTGACAGCCAGACATTTTTCAAGAGCTTATCTTAAATTCAAGGCATTACTCAAAAAAAACATAAAGTACTTTCAAAAGATGATAAAAAATACAAAAAATATATATATATTTTAAGGGTATTATGACTTTTAATTTATCAAAATTTTAAACCAAAAACTAAGCCACCAAAAATCAAAATTTCATGTTTTTCTTTATTCTTTCAACCGTTAGGTGATAATATTTTTAGGCTCAAGTTCAGAGACTTGAAGATTATAAAATCGTTTCTTTTTTTTTACATTTCCAAGAACGAAAAGTTACAAAAATATTTGACTAATGATTAACCAATTAAATGCTGATAAATGTGATGAACGAAGGCAGGAAATTGCCGAGAATAACATAAATACGAGAAAGAACATCAAACATTGACTTGAAAACTACACTCGGAAAAAACCGAAAATACAAACTATAGCAAGAAAATATATTAAACTAAAATTTAAAATATTCAAAAGCTAAAAAATAATTTAACTCTTATTTTATAAAACTCTGAAAAGATATTACGAAAATATCAGAATAAAAATCAATAAAATGCCCATACTCTCTCTTGAAAACCGGTTTTTTGTGACAAAGCTAATAACAAAACTTCTAAAAACCAAACTTTGACTCAGTTAGATAATTTACCAGAATATATGCAAAAAAAAAAGAGAAAAAGGGGGAAAAATAAATAAAATACCAAATAAATAAATAATTGTCGTTTGGGGAACGAACCAACAAAAAAAAAGGGGAAAACGCAAAATGTGAATCAACATTTTTTCGAGGACAGGGAGGGGGGGCCTTATGGACAAAGACAGAGGCGTTGGTTGGTTGGGGCATGCTGTGGGTTATAAAAAAAGTAGGGGGGGATTGAACTCTCTCACTGCGAATTTCTATGGAATTTCGCATGCAGCGGCAACTGCAGCAAACAGAAATCAGAAAACAGAAAACAACAAACGTGAGAGGCAAATAAAAAAAAATAAATAAAATCAAAAATAAATTATGCAGAAAGCAGAAAACGTGCTTATGTAGATTTTTAAAATATATATAGGAAAATATATAAACTTACATGCTCTCTAAACTATAATGTAAGGGCAAGTCTATCAAAAAATTTAACCAATTTCCATTTAAAACAAATGTTTTCTTTTAATATGTTACTTCATAAAAATACCTATAAAACCCAATTATTTTCCCCCTTTCATTTATCTAATTTATTGTAGTTCTAGTATAGTTTCTCATGCAACTACTAGTTAGGTAACCCTCTCAAAACAAAACACCCTAAAAGGCCCCCTCAAACAAAAAAACATTTTCCCATAGATCAGCTTAAACAATTGCAATGAAACTCTGCGATTTGCAAATTTGCACAAACACAAAGATACACAGATACAAAAGATCCGAAAGATACAAAAGATACAGATACATTTGCCAGGTTTAATTGATGCGACAAGTGACATGTGTGGAAGACAATGGCCACAGAAAAGAAACCCAAAGAGAATGTAAGAAAGCACTGGAAAAAACGACTTGAAAACTAAATTGTTTCATATTTTTAGAATACTATTTTTGTTCTTTTTATAGGTTTTTAGACAAAGGATTATATTATGGATGTTTTTTTGGGTTTAGTTTAAGCCGTAGAAGTCATTTGAAGTAAAACACTAATAAAATACTTATGCTATTTGTACTATGTATTATTGCTATTGGTACTACTATAAAGGTACTATTGGTATAAGCCTTTTACGAAAAGCCTTATGCTATAAGGTATATACTAAAGGAGCCTGGAAAGGTATATATACTAAAGGTGCCTTTCTACCTTCACCTTTATGAGACAGAACACAATTATCCCTGTACATACACATATTTAAAAAATAAATTTTTATTCTTTTTAATTACAACTTTGCTTTGTATATTCTTGTAACCCTTCCTCTTGGGTATTATCATTTTCAGTAACGATCCTACAGATCTAAAACTACATAGTAGCTTTAAACTTATACATAATACTCTATCAATTGTTTTAAATATGTAATATATATACATACATGTTCTTAATAGGTCTCATATAAAAGACACTTCATATAAAAACACTTCATTAATTAAACAATAAATACCCTTAAAAAACACCCCCTTTGATAATCCCACTCACCATATCCTCTTCGTCCTCGCAGCAGTTGACATCCTGGAGCTGTTCCCGCCAAGCCAGCACCGAGTCAGTCAGGAGGAGTCGAGCATTGGAGCGAACCCTGAGCTTCCGACCCGCCCGGGGAGCCACACCCCGCTTGCCGCCCAACGCGCCAGCGGCCAGAACCGCCCTCTCCCACTCCTCCTTGAGGGGCTTCGGTATGGAGACGGGGATTCGATGATTCTCCTCCTGATCCTCGGCCTCGCAGCTGCAGCCACTGTCGTCGGTGTGGGGAGCAGGAGGCGGAGGTGCGGCCTGCAGGAGCGGGGGCGGCGGTGGGGCAGGTCGCCGGATACGGGTCATGAACCTCTGATGGACGTATGAACGCTGGTAATCGTAGAAGATAGCACTGTACTTCATGGGCTCCCGGGGACTGTAGAAGATGCAGATGTTCCGCAGAATGTCATGAACGAGGGGCACGATCTTTGGCGGTTCCTGAGGTGGCGGAGCCGGAAGTGCAAGTCCAGGAGCAGCAGCACTTCCCCGGCTACTTATAGAGCCTAGGGTGGCAGTGCTATTCGTCACTGTGCTGCCCAGGCTCAGGGTCTCATCCGCCTCGGCTTCCATATCCGCTTCCCTCGAGTACATGAACTCCACATCCGTTTCCCACGCCCCCTGGTCCATGGAGGCGGTGGGCGAAGGCAGGGGCGTGGGCATCATCAGCTTGGAGCGTTTGGTAAGCGTCGACGTGGACACTTTGTGGCGCACCCCGGCGGCAAAAACGGCTGCCGCCTGGAGAGCCATCACATCGGCATCCCCATCGGAGGGCAACGACTCGTCGTAGTCCTCCACCAGCTCCAGCTCCTCCTCATCCTCGTCGTCGTCCTCCTCCTCCTCGTCGTCTTCGTCTTCATCCTCCTCATCGAGGGTCTGGGACTGAATGATATCCTGATCGGGTTCAAGGGTCTTGAACTTCCAAATCGGTTGATAAATGGATTCCTCCTCCTCCACCTGATCCACATCCAGATCACCTTTTGTCCTATCGGCTTTATCCATTGCGTTTGGTGAGGATTCCTCCTCCTGACGGGGTTTGCTTAAGGCTGTTGTGGGATTACGTACTGGTACTTTGGGGGCTGGACGTCGCACTTTGATCACGCAATTCTATAAATTTTTAAAAATTTAAAAATTTGAAAAAAAAAACATTTTTGAAAATTTGAAATTGAAAACTTGGCTGGCAAATGGGAGTTTTTGTTGGGAATTTCCCCTTTTTATTTTTAACCAATGTCATCACTAAAGATTTCTTTGTTTTATTTTTAACACATAAAAACACACAGTAAAAAAATTGGGTACAAAAGCAGAACGTTAATTGAACGCTGATTGTTTTAGGGTTATCTTCTGTTATCATTGCCGACTTGTTTGTTTTTCTTCACATATTGCTTTTTTTTTGTTTTTCCATTTCTTCTTTTTTTTGCTTTTTTTTTTTTTTTGCATTGTTTGATGATTGTTTTTAATTAGATAACTTTGTTTGTTATTGTTATTGTTTTTTTTCTTTATGATTCCATAACATTCTGTATATTGCCAACCCTTTTGCACACAAACCGTTAATCAATTTCGAACTTTAATAAAAAAAAACTAAGAGCACTGGGAAAAAATTCCATGAAATAATAATTTAAAACAAATTTTTTAGGTTAAAACATTTTTAAAATATTTTCTGACACTTTTTCTACAGTTTTAGTTAATAGCGTGACCATTTATTACATAATTTAGTAGCTGGTCACACTGTTTTACTTATGTTTTGTGCAAAATGTATCACTTTCAAATATTTTTCAATAATTTTGAATGTAATTATACATTAGTGTGCCCATACTTTTCTGAAAATATACAACTTTGGGCACACTTATTTTAACAAACACTTTTGAAACTTTTTTCTGTTAACCTTTTTTCTCAGTGCTTTAGTTTTGCATTTTAATATATTTTTTTTTCTATTGTTGCTTTTTTTTTTAATGAGTGTTGACCTGTGTGATTTGCTGTTGTTGTTGTTGTTCGCTGACATTGCAATTGCCCGTATTGTTGTTGTTATTGTTGCTGCTGCTGCTTTCATTGTCATCACTGGAGCTTTTGTTGTTGTCGGTGGTGGTGCTGTTTGCATTGCTGTTATTGTTGTTTTTATTATTATTGGGGCGCTCTGCCTCGCCATTTGTCTTTGGCGCTGCCATCAAAGCTCTGCCGCCTGGTACACTGTTATTCTTTTTGTTGCTGTTGCTTCGACTGTCCTCGCTGTTATTGTTTTTCTTAACGTCGCCGCTGTTATCGCTTTCGATCACTGGCCCTGCTACTGCTGCTGTCCCCCCTTGCTTGCCAACGATCTCTTCGCTTCGTTTCCGACGACGAAGCGCCGCAGACACGTCGTCACTCTCTGGCGTCGGCGGAGCGACTAACCGAAGCACCGTTTCTTTGCCCGCTGATTCACGATCAGCTCTCTTTGCCGCAGCTCTTTTTCCCGCTCTTTTCAGATAAGCTCGCATGGCGATCGTTGAGTGATGGCGTCGGTGTTGCTGGTGTGGTTGTTGTTGCTGCTGCTGCAGAAACAGCCATTGAGCCAACGATTTGTCATAGCTGGTGAGAAAGCCACGCACACACACATGCAGCGACGAAGAGAACACAATGGCCTGCATTAGCTGCCAAAGAGAGTGAATGGTGGTTGTGGGTGGCAGGACTCTTGCAATCTCCAGTTCTTCCTGTTCCTTCTTATCGTCTTGGAGGTTGCTGAGAAACTCACTAACCAGATCCGGTGTAACGGCACATCGACGCTGCTCCTCCGGCCTCTCTTTGGGCTCTCTCTTAAGCCGGAGCTTCCTCTTAAAGTTATCCACCGGATCGAGCTTGTCGCTATCTTCTTTGGTTCTTCGCAGGATCACATTCTCCTTCTCCTCGTCCTGTTGCATCCACTCCCTTTCTCTTTGGTACGAGGCCGGCACACTCTTGGGCTGCTGCCACGCCCCCTCGTCGTAGTGATGGACCTGACTGCGCAGTGACGTCATCCAGTGGCAGACGCTCTCGTTGAGGTACAAGGATGCCACCTCGACGCTCTCCTGCTCCTGATCTAGATCACTTTCCTGTTCGATTTGCAGCAGGCGCATGCGCGAAATCCTTGGCTTCTTGCGCTGCTCTCTTTCGGGCTCTCTTACGCGCCCGTAGATGTGCTGATCGCTCTGGCTGCTTTGAAGCTGGCTCTTCAGCTCGCAGATCCTCTGCATGTCGAAGGTCTCCTGGGTGCGAAAGACCTCGTCCACATTGTGAATGATCTCCAGGGATCCCCCGGCCGGGGCGCGAACTTTCTCCCGCTCTTTGGCCTCTTTCTGGAAGATCCTGCGCTGCAGCGACGCCGAGCGATTCAGTTGCTTAAGAGAGCCAAAGAGACGGGTCAAGGTCGCGGCACTGGACTTCGAATAGTTTAAGAGAGTGCGTGACTTGCTTTTGCCGGTAGTGGGTGGCGTGGGCGGCGCAGAGGGCGTGGCCGAGGTGGGAGTATCCCTTCCCCCCCGTTGGCACTCGCACTTTTCGTTGTCACTGTATATTCCCCGGCATATCTCACAGATATTTTCATAGATATTACTATCTCTCGAGTCCTTTAAGAGCGGGGGAGGCGGTGGCGGGGAAGTGGGCTGAGTTCGCACCACACCGCCGCTTACGATACACTGACAGAAATGACAGTATCGTCCTTGGGCGGCGAAGACCCCGTAGCCGCAGCCGCGACACAGATTCTCATAGATGGCCTCGCGGGGAAAGTACTTTCTCAGCTCGGGGATCGGATGACTCTTTCTGGACGTGGAATTCTCCGCTGGAAGATTCTCGTAGATGTGGTGCAAAGACTCCTCCCCCAACCGGAAGTTGTCGTTAATATCCGCCGATCCATTCGGAAGACTTTCTTCCAACTGCTGCTGCTGCTGTTGGGGCATTTCTCCGGCTCTCTTTCTAGCTCTTCAACTCTTTTTCGTTTTCTTATCGCATGCTGCTGTGTCATAATTCAATATTAAGTGAGAAAATTATGAGAAAATGGAATAATTATTTACAGATAGGAAAATAAACACACAAATACATACATAGAGAGAGAAAGAGGAAGAGAGAGAGAGTTTGAACTGTGAGATGTTTGAACTGCACTTTGTTTTTTTTTTTTCTTGTTTGAAGCTCAAGCCCGAGTATCTGTATCTCTATCTCAATTGCACCGACATTCATTATCTTACTCTCACCCCAACTAACACACACAGACACACACTAGTACACACAGCAACACCCTGAAGAGTCGCTGCACTCTGCACTCAATTGGCCCAAGTCATTCCACTTCCAATTGGAATATCTTTTCTTCAGCTTAACCCATTGGTGGTCGGGGTGGGCTAAAATGCAACCGATTGTATTTCAAAAAAAATGTGACACTTGAGATATTTTTTGGAGGCTGGTTTTGTACAGATTTTGGTTCTTATTTCAAAGACTGTTTTTCTATAATAAATAATATATTATTTTTCTTTTGTTTAAAAATTAATAATTTCAATTTCCATAATATAATTTTCTTTGTTAAAAATACTTAAACAGATTTAAGCTTTAGTTGGAAATTAAGAAATCTGTTATGTTTGACAATAAATCAATATTAACATATATTTTAAACACCAAAATTATCTCTAGAAGAATAATTTAAAGTAGAATCTTAAGAGTAATCAATATTGTTCTTAATAAGCTTAAACAAAAATAAAAAATGCACAAAAATCCATTTTCTACAAGATGTTAATTGTATCTCAAGATACTTACAATATTATCTCAAATTTTCAAATATTCTTGATGTTGGGATTTATAAAAAAGAATATTATATACACATAAACCTTAACAAATCTTTAATATATGTATTCTTAATTTATTAATCTCATTTAAAAGAAGCTAAACATCCTAAAAATCCACATCAAAGCCCCTTAAAGGTTAACATAAATTGAAATCATTTTTCAAAACACCCATTTATTTTTATAAATTAAATGCCTTCTTCTAATTAATGAATAGCTAGCCTGCAGCTAAAAAACATAAAAGCCCAAATCACTGCTCGAGGGTTAAAAAACATTAACTGTTTGCATTTCTTCTGGTTCGAGCATTCTTTTTTTAATTTTTATTTTTTTGGTTACTGGTTTTCAAAGTGCTTTGTGTTTTTTTTGATATTTGTTGTTTTTGTTTCGGATGACGACGCCGACAATGATGATGGGTATTGGATGAATCATCGGTCGAGTCCACCAAACCATGTCGGTTTAAGAGGCGTGTCCCCTCCCCAAGCCTCGAGACCCCTCAGTCTTCCCAGTCCCCCAGTCTCCCAGTCCCCTGATCTCTCCCCGAGTCTTAAATTCAAATTAAACGCCAAAGAGAGGCGCGAAACGTAGGAGAATCCCCTGAGAAAGCCCTGAGAATGAAAGACTGAGAAACAGGTTAGCCAGCCGAGAATTGTGTAACGCTGGCCGACTTCCTCACCTACGCCACACAGGTGCCGCCAGGTAAATGGAATGTGCACCACGGAATGTGGATAAAATACACTTGTCGAAATGTGTGTATCACTTTTAATGGAGGAAATATTCTAAAATACATTTAATTGCTTATAGATTTTTTATACAAATTTATAAAAACTTTATTTTACTGATTTATTGGGAAATCATTTAAAAACAATAATTATTGTGGCTACTATTGTATTTCTTTTTCTTCAAGCTTCATAAAGATTTTATATATTTTTTTTAAATGATTAAATTGTTTGTTATATTTATGTATTTTTCCCCCAGTGTAGAGCTATCTAAAAGGGCCGGCCCAGAAAAAAGTTTATATTATTCTAGCTTAGAATTATTATTAAACACTCGATTACTATTACTAGTACTAGTACAAAAAAAGACAAATATGTAAGAAAAAGTCTTGCTAAATATATACATATATTTATTTTGGCTAGGACGTATTTAGATACCTAAAATATAACTATATCACTGGGTACGGCAGTTTACGTAGGTAACGAACTGCAGGCATAGAAGAGCGAGAAGGCTGCTTTATGTATATAGCCGAAGAATTAGTATTTAATATATTAATTAAGCTGTAATGATAACCTCAGGAGATTTTAGTTTTCCGCCTAAAGTAAAAAAATTCAGTTCAAGACTTAAAAAAAATTAAAATTCCTCTTTTTTTTTGTCTATAACTATTTTTAAAAGATTAGTGATCACCGAAGTAGAAAAAAAATGTATGACTATTATAATAAATTAATATTCATTGGGAATTTTTAAAGCTGATTGTGATAAATTTTTCTTCCCAAAGTAACAATCAAGTCACTGATAGGAAATAAAACCCTACTAGGAACACTAGGAAATACACTACTTTATTTAACTCCTGAGTAGGCTAGGAAATTTTCATCATATTATTTTATTTATTAAAATAAAAGCATACATATTTGATAAAATTTTTCCTTCAGTGTCCAGCTATCCAAAACGTCAGGCCCCAAAGCCGGAGGCGCCCTAATGGAGTTAAGGTGCCAAGAAACAAGGGTCGACGTCTGTCCATTAATCTCTTGATCAGGCTAAGTGGCGTAGAGAATCGCGCTTTATCTGGCTAAGAGATCATAAAATCATTCTTTATGAGTCATATTTTTGGTCTAGGACATCGGCACTGTAAGCATTCAAAAAACCCATTTCCCCCCCAGTGAGAAACAGTAACCTTTTGGATTTTTGGCAATCATGGTATTAGGCATTTGGCAGAAGTAACAAAATATATAACGAGGGTGTTTGGGCATCCCCATCAACCAGGGTGGAGTACATGTGTTGAGTTAAAGCCAGTGTTGGAAGTGTAGATACTGTTGGAAGTGTAGATAGTGTGAAATTGGCGGATTTCTGGTAGGACGATTAATCCGTGAATCCTTGAGGCCATCCCGTACGCAACGATTCAGCTCTGGCCCCCAAAGTATGGATGAGGAACGAATGAGGATATTATAATCTCTTATAACTCTATTGCATGGTAGATGGTTTGCTCATTAGTTCTTCTGGTATTTGAGGGCCATTTCAATGAAATTGACGTAGGAGATGTGACCGGTCCCATCGCGATCTGCTTCATGCATCATCTGCTGAACGGTGGCAAGATCAGGTTCTTCGCCAATCATGTCTTCCAGTGCCTGGTAAAGTTCATCGGCCGACAGGACACCATCGCCGTTCCGATCGAATCGTTCGAATAGTTCGCGCAGCTGCTCCTCTCGCTCCGCCCTGACCATCATCCGGCAGAATCGATCAAAGTCCACGGCTCCATCTTTATCCGTCTCGACCACCCTAAGCATGTCCTGGAGTTCGGCATGAGTCGCCTTCCGTCCGAGTTGCTGCATTACGGCATCCAGACCATCGATGGTTATAGTCCCGGTATTATTCTTGTTAAGTAGTGCATAAATTTCTTGTAATTCGGCTTTGTGTTGTTCACTCAACTTGTTCATGTTTCAACAATTATATATATATCAAGGTCCTATATATATAATTCTGCTTCCACAGCAGGATATGTTCGTTCTACGGATTGGATCCTAGGCACCACCATACTGTATTTGAATTTCCATTTTATATAATTTATTTTTCACCTTATACTTACGGTTCCTTTATTGAGTACTTAATTTAAACGTTGGATTAAATTTTCACTTGAATTTGGATTAAAATTCTATTTCGGTCAAAAAAAAAAAAAGAAAATAAAAAAATATTTTATTTTTTTATATTCAGTCCTGCTCGTACTGCAGCTCAACTAAAACTGATTCCTAGCCCAGTCTGGTTTCCAAAGGTCGACATTTTTTGGGTTTCATGGATTGCTGCGATTCAGAAATTTCAAATTGTGGAATGCATAGATTGCTTGGATGGGGGAGTTTTTCGAATATTTATGAACATAAAGTCATCAGGTCACTATTAAATTACTTTTAGGCAAATTACTTGTATAAGAGAGGTTATCCACCAATTCCAACAACATTAAAAGGTTATTCCAACATTCTTTCAATTCTATTTAATATTTTAAACTTTATTTGAAGAAACTAAGCCGCCAAGATAATTAGAAATTCTAACTTATAAGGTATAATACGTTTTACTTAACAACAACTTGAATTTAAATCTTATTTTAATACTAGTGTAAGTTTCTAAACTTAGTTTAAAACTAGAAAAATGATGTTTTATCTAATAACTAATAACTCTCAGTCAGAAGCCAGAACAAATTTTGCTGATAGATCATTTAAATATGTACCATACTTTGTACTTCACATTAATACTAATAATTTATAAATAAATCAAAATCACACCAACAGTCTTATGTAGCCCACTCAACCACCATTCCAACTAGCCTACTTTCAGGCTTTCTGAAGAAAACAACGAAAAAACTCTTCAAACAATGAGATCCCAAACTAAAAGGCACTTAAAGCCTTGAATGAGTTTTTGCTTGGGAAAACTGAGGCTTGTAAATTATCTACGGATTTCTGACTATGGCGATGATTCATTACTTTGTGGCCTTTTGCATGAATAATGACGACTGTTTACAGAGTAATTGAAATATATATATATGAATGCATTTTACTAATAAATAAAACAAAAAAAAAAGAGTACAGACTTGAATGGAAAATATATAATATATGAATAAAGCGGGACTTGGCCCGCTTGTTTTTCCCATTTATGTTCCACTAAGTATTATCTCACATTATTCATATCACTATTTCTCTCTCTGTCTCTCTATCATTCTAGGTTTATCTCTCTTACAATAGATCTGCTGTTTTATATATTGTAGTTATATATTTCATTGATCCAGTGATTCCAGGGGGATAGTTTCAGGAATTTCATTCTTGAATATTAATCACAAAAACCAGCACACAAACAAAAACAAAACTTGGATTCAAATTGGAGTTCACTGATAAGGCTGGGCTTTGGTTTTTCGTTGCTATTTTTTTTTTGTGCCCTGCGATATTATTACGAAATCGGATTTACTATATAGAGTCTATATAGACTAGTG